AAAATCTGACTTTATCGCTTCACATTTCAGAGCAAAATTTGTCCCAGAAATTTCTCAATCTCCAATAATCCAAATTTTTAAAAAATTCTAAGTCATGGGATGTCTGGGAGACTCAGTGAAGCATCTGCCTTCGGCTCATGTCATGATCCCAGGGTCTTGGGATCAAGTCCTGAATTGGGCTCCTTGCTTAGAAGGGAGCCTGCTTCTCCTGCCTCTGCTCCTCCCCCTGTTTGTGCTCTCTTTCTCTCTCTTTGACAAATAAATAAATAAAATTATTTTTTAAAGTTCTAAGTCAGAGCACCTGGGTGGCTCAGTGGGTTAAAGCCTCTGCCTTCAGCTCAGGTCATGATCTCAGGGTCCTGGGATCAAGCCCCACATTGGGTGTTCTGCTTGCTTCTCTGCCTACTTGTGATCTCTGTCTGTCAAATTAAAAAAAAAATCTAAAAATAAAAAGGTTCTAAGTCAGCCATGTAGCTATGCAGGGAGACCTCTAAATAGGTTCATACTGTGAAAAGATATATACTCCCCATCACCCACACAACATAACCCTTACTTTTGGGGTTTACAAGGCCTTGACTTACCCAAGCCCTGCCTCCTTCTGCAATTTGCCATTTTGCACTTTGCTTACTTTGCTGCAGCTGCATGAGCCTCCTCATTCGTTCCTTACTCACACTAAGCTTGCTGCTACCTCCGGGACTTTGCACTTGGTATTTTCTCTGCCTGGTAGTCTTTATCCAGATTTCCACATGGCTTCAGGTCTTTGCTAGAAAGTCATCTCCACAGAGAGATCTTCCCTCACCACTCTGTCTAAAAGAGCACCCCCTCAATCATTCACTAGAGTATAAATCCCATGAAGCTAGCAACTATATTTCTTTCAGTTCAGGGCCTGGGTCAAGGACTGGGTGTTTCTTAAGTATTGGCTAAATGAATGAATAAATAAATAAGTGTAAAAGATAGAAGGAGAGAACACATCTAATAATGCACTCAAAAGAAAAAACAAACAAACAAACAAACAAAAACAATGATGAGGATCCCAAAGAAAAATCTCAGGGAGGCTAAAGCCAAGAATGTATTGAAGCTTTCGAAAACTGCTGAAGACAGATAAGTAAAAAGCCTTTTAGTCAGTGCAAGGAAGAAAAAGAGCAACTTTCTGAAAGAAAATAAATCCTCTTTTGTTGGCATATTCCTTCAAGAGGATTGATTTTTCAAGCTCAAAAAGGCTGGAGGGAAGAGAGGCGAGATGAGAGGAAATCCAGGGGAGTGGTGAGGTTGTTGGATCCCAGGGACTCCAAGGAATGAATAGTTGTGAGGAAGTCTCGACAGGGGCAGATGCAGCATTGCAGAGATCCCAGGTCCCATGACGGCAAGGAAAGAAGGACACTACACCAATCCAGATTTGGGTTGAGGTGGTAGCTTCAGAACTGAAAAAGGAAGGAGTGGGTCAGTAGTGTTACTACTTCACAGCTGTGATCAATGCAGACTGACTACTTCTGCTGCAGATGAAGATGTGCAACAGTCCAGTGACCTCTAGATGTTGAGCTGAGCGGGTCCTGAGACATGGAGCGGAGAAGGGAGCCACTTGCTACAAGAGACTTACCACAGCGGCCATGGAGGACTCAAAAAGAGGTAGTACCTGGGCTGGAGGAACTGGCTTTGTGAGGGAGTGAGCAGTTCTAGTCAGAGGGACATTGCAGTGTGTAGTGAGATGACTGTGGAGGTGTGGCTGAGCTGTAATCATTGCTAAAGTGCTCTGAGTGTGTTATTCCCTCTGAGCAGGCTGCCAAAACTTAGTATTCGAAAGTGTGACAAAAACAAGCATTTAAAATCTGACAGAAGGGGCACCCGAGTGGCTTGGTCGGTTAAGCCTCTGCCTTCAGTTCAGGTCATGATCCCAGGGTCCTGGGATGGAGCCCCGCATCAGGCTCCCCGCTCATCAGAGTCTGCTTCTCCCTCTGCTTTTCCCCCTGCTTGTGTTTCCTCTCTCGCTCTCTCTCTCTCTCTCTGTCAAATAAATAAATAAAATCTTTAATAAATAAAATAATAAAATAAAATAAAATCTGATAAAAGTTGAACAGACCCCAAGAGGTGCCCCCAGGGCAGCTAATGTAGGTTTCTGCCCTTTAATGCCCTGTCAGCATCCTGGCTCCAGCTTCGATTCCATGTCTGAAAGACAGGGATTGGGCTACCTCCTTTCTTTAAGCAACTTTCTGAGACAGATTTTACTTCTATCAAGCCTGACTACGGCTGTCAGCTAAAGCAGCTGTTCCTAGCAGTTGGAACACTTTGGAGCAAGGAAAAGACTATTCCACCGAAGAGTCCTTTCAAGAAAGTTCACTATATCCCTGAGTTACTAGGGAGGCCCACGAGGCCCAACAGGAACTGACTGCTCCTTTTCCATCCCTCCCTAAAGCCCCCATTCCCACCATCTCCCTGGATCTCTCTGCTGCATCGTCATAGGAAGTGACCCCAGCTCCCTCCCCATCCTCACTCCTACACCCCTACACCTCTCTGTCCCAGCTCCATATGAAGGCGTATCCACATCCCTGCCACCTCCCTGAGACTCTCCCTGGGCCATCGTACATCAACCAACTTCAGCTGCCTCTCCTTGCCAATATCCAGCTTGACATGAAATGCTGTCTCTTGCTCTCCATCCTACCACACTCCTACGCTTCTCTACTCCACCCTCACATGAACTAACCTCTGCTCTGTTCTCCTCAACTCCACATGAAGGAATTTCTTCCCCCGCTTCCTCGCTCTTCCCTCTCTTCCCCCGCACTCTCATGAACCAATCTCTGTGTTGTCTATGTCATTCCCACCCCCACTCCCCTGCAGCTCCCTCCTCCAGCCCCACATGAATGGACCTCTGCTCCCCCCACCTCCCCATCACCCCCTTCCAAGCCCCTACAGGGCTGGGCTATCTATATAGAAACTAGCCCTTGCTCCCTTTCTCTCTCCCCCCCACCTGAACCACTCTTTCCTGACCTCATGGACTGGCTGTGGTCCCTCCACTTCCCAACCCCTTCTCACTCTCCATGACCTTTCTAATTCTTCCCCAGCTGAACTGATCTCTCCCACCTCCCTACTCTCCATACTACTCTGACTCTCCCTCCCTATCCACCCTCCACCCTCCACATCTTACCTAAATACTCCTGCCTTTCCCTGGTCTGGCCTCACAGAAGCTTCTTCCACTTCTGTCCCCACCCCCTGCCACCTCCCTTACGCTTCTTGGTCCAACCCCACCTGAGCCGACTCTGCCCCCTCCCTCCCCATTATCCTACACCTGCTCCACAACTCTCTACATCATCTGCACCTGCACCGACCTCCCCTACCATTTCTTCCCTATCCCCTCCAGTCCCTTCAACGATCTGGTCCAGCCCATCATAAACTGACCCCAGCCCTCTCTCCATCCACATTCCCCTACCTGCTTGCAGCTCTCTTCTCTGCCTCCACATGAAGCAGTCCCAGCTGACTCTCTCCCCGTATTCTTGACCCCCATGTGACTCTCTGTTCCAGTCCCACACCCACTGATCTGTGCTGCTCCCTCTGTCCCAAACCCTTCCACTGAGCAATGGCAAACCTATTTTTAAATGGCTGGCAGGCACCAATGTGAGTACCTTATGCTTGTTTTTAACCTTAAGGATAACAGGTTACTTATCACTCTCCCTTCCCCCAATATTCCTCACTCTATTTCATTTATGAGAACATTAAGGAGCAGGAGATAAGAATGTTTCCAGGGTGACAGTTAACAGTGAATTGGGAAGTAGGGCCCAGTCTTCTCACTCCTTTCCAATATTGTATGTCTTTTATCAGATCATGTGCCTCTTATTAGAAAACAGCAATATGAAAAAGGTCAAACCCTCCTGGTAAATGCTGTCAACTCAGCTCTGGGGGACAATAAACATAAAGCCTCACAGACCCACACCTAACAAAGTCATGTGACAATGACATCAAGGAAATGAGATTGAAAACAAACACTTCTGAAATGCCTTCTTGGCCCTTTGTGTGAGTCTGCCTTGGGTCCTCAGTGACTCTGACTTAAGCACAACCCTTCTCCCCACTATGCAGACAAGGAACCTAAGGCACTTGGAGGAGTTTGTCCCCGATTACCCAGCCAGAAAGTGGTGGAGCCCATGAGAGAACCCAGGTCTGAGGCTACTCTAGGCTCCCCTCACCACACCAGTGTTTCTCAGGGAATGATCCCTCTGCAGACATGTCTGGAGGGTTCCCAAGTCCTTCAGGGTGCCAGTGTCCAGGGATGAGGCCCAGAGCCGTACCTCTTTACCTGCTCCCCATGTAAGGGTACCACGGGAAATACAGGAAACCCAAGTCAAGTTAAATTTCAGATCAACAGTGGATAAATAACAAAAAGTCCAAATGGGATATACTTACACTAAAAAAAATGATCTGAAATTCAAATGGACTTAGGTGTTCTCTTTGCTATCTGTATCAGACAACCCCAGCCTGGGATTAGGATGTCCCCAGAGTTTAAAACCTATTCTCTCCCTCTACAGGTTTTCCATTTCCCCTTGACCCTTCTTGTTCCTCGCCCAGCCTGGGGCAGAGACTTTAATTTTATCTGCCAGGGCTTCTCTTATAGGCCATGCCATGCAGGGCCCAGAGGAGGCTGGACAAGGTCACTCAGCCCAACCTAACACTGAGGTCTTAGACACTGACCAGAGGTTGGCTGAATTCAACCTACTGTCATAGTAACTTGCCTTTCCCCAATTTGTCCAAGCACAAATTACCAAGAGGACTCTCAGCCTTATACTTTGCCCAAACTATTTTTAAGGCAGCATTTAGCTGTAGATAAATGGAAATTCTGCTACTTTTAACCCTGACAAATTCCCAAGGCAAGAAACAATTTAATAGTAAAGGTTGATTTCATTTTCTGTCCATGGGCTGGGAAGGACTTGGGGATCTACCAGGCTGCCTTCAACACAGTGGCTTAGAAGACGAACTCACAGTCAAGGCCAAAGAACTCATCCCTAGAGAACAAAAGCTTAAAATAAGAAAGGCTTTATTTTTAAGACAAAACAAATAGCACAAACACACATCCGAATGCACATGAGTAAGTTCACTGGCTTTTATAAAAGAGAAAGCTGCACTCAGCTGTCAGTTATAACTAGAAACATCAAGGAGATGCCCCTTGCTTCTGGTGGCATGGGTACAACATGTGCTTGTCTAAGAAGTCATTCTGTGGTGGCATCAGTGTGGAAATGCATGAACTTTTGAGTGAGCTGATTAAAAGGCAGGAGTGCAGGTGGGTGAAAGCTTTAAGACCCTTTTCACCACCCTAATGTGCTCTTGTTCTGCTCTAAGGAATTGAAGCAATCAGCAGATCACCTTACAAAGAACTTAAATGTCAAAGAACACTTTCGGATACCTAAAAGAGATCCAAGATTGTTAATGAAGTCATACAGGGAGGTGAGTAGGAGAAAATAGTTTATGTTCTCAAAACCCAGGTTTCACACAATATGAAAAGGAGAGACTGATCTCAGTAAAGGCTGGTCTTTTTCATGATGCGCAGGAACTCCTGCTCATTGACTTCTCCATCTCCGTCTCGATCAGCCTCATCGATCATTTCCTGCAGGATAATGAAGAATCAGCTTAGATTAATTCATAAATGTAACTAAATTATGACTGAGCAGTAGGTCTTTATAATGTCACATGAATAGACAATTGTGGTCCACCCAATGCAAGAAATGCACTTTTTGTAACAGCTTGCCTACCACAAAGTTACCTAAAAATCAAGCAATACTTTGTCACACATATCATCTAGAAGGGAACCTGAAGATCATCCTGACTAAGGGAATTCCTAAAACCTAAAACAGTAAGTAAGAATGTATCTGTGTGCATTTTTCTGGGAGTGGGACCCATAGGTTTGTCACACTATCAAAGGAGAAATTAAGTGGTCAACAGAGGGGTAAGGGAACACTACTTTCCCTTCACACTGGGGCTCACATCAAGAAAATAAAACTCAGGGGCTCTAAGCAGGAATTGAAGTCCAGTCTGATGCCTTACAAACCTGCAACTCCTCATCAGTGAGGTTCTCACCCAACTCCTTGGCCACGCGCTTTAGATTTTTGAAGGATATCTTCCCAGTTTCATCATCATCGAAGAGCTTGAAAGCTTTCAGAATTTCTTCTTTGGTATCTTTCTCAGACTTAACAAGTAAATCAGAAAACACAGGGGCAATTAGTCATGCGGCAGCCCCACTACCATCTAACCCCTTCACACGGTCTTGATGATAGCCTTCGTCACAGAAGTCTTAGCTCACCGGAGACTGAACATCATCCCGGGTAGAAGAGCACAAAGTCAGTGACGTTATTATAAAAAAAAGAAATATAAAGGATTGACTTAAAACATTCCTTCTGTACAAACCAAAGAGAAATAGGAGTAGAGAGTAGAGTTAAAGCTAGGGGAAAATACACTGCTTAAGCTGGTGTAAGGGATCCTCTTGGCAGGGGTAGGGAGGTGCAGGGAGGAGAGAGAGGGCCATTGAACTTGGCAGGGGTAGGGAGGTGCAGGGGCCATTGAACTTGTTATGGGATTGCAGAGAGTTACTGGGATCCCAAGTACTCTAAGAGGAAGAAAGGAAAATCTCCAAGAACTCAAACTCCAGAAATTTCTGAAAAGTAGCTAAAGATAGAGAGAACCCCTCTAATAAGAGCAATCGGGGAACCCACCTTCAGTGTGGGACGGCTTTACTAGGTAGTTACAGAATGTTAAGCTTCCTGATCTCTTAAATTAGTACATACACAAAAAGTACAGGTAGGATTAGATGTTTTCAAAGCAACGGAATTATCAGAATAGGAACAGTCCTGTGACCTGAGGCACACATGGAGCTACTTTTCCACAGGCCAGTCAAGCAGCTGAGCCACACAAGAGAGGAGCCAGAAAGGCAATGAAGGAGCAATGGCCCACGGGGCGCATAAACACATAGCCTGGGCGGGGCGATGACATGCGGGGGAGTGAAGTGGCTTTTTCAGGTCACGTTGTCTTTCTTGACCCTCTGGATCCTGTAAAATGGTGACATCTGAGGGACTAGACAATGGGTGAAAGTGCTGAACGGCCAATTCCTGGTGCAGGAAAAAACACAGCTGTCGAGGTAACCTGTCCTCAGACTAACGCTTCGCAGAATAAACGAGAGAGAACAGAATTTTGACCTTTAAAGTATAGGCATTTCATCTAGTCAGGCAGTGCAATATTGCTGGCATTTACAGCATTTCCTGCTTGTGCTTGTCACAGTGACGTATCAGTTGGAAGAAAAATAATCGCAAGAGTGACAACGCTAGTACTCTTATGAGTTTACAGAGGGTAAGCTGACTTCTCCTGTGATTCTGCGGCCTTGAAGAAAGCCAAGTAGAATGTAAGCATCCTGTCAGTCATAAGTACTATACTTCCTCAACTGAACCCTCCAGTCCGTATCACGTTTTCTTCACTGAAGACATTTTTATATCTAGATTCAAATTTGTTCACTATTATGCGTGGAAAATATGCTAGTTATCCCAGCTAACTTACCATTTTCTGAGTCATCACAGTCAAAAAGTCACTGAAGTTCATTTTTCCCGTCCCTTCTTTATCAATTTCACTTATCATTTTCTTGATCTCTTCTTTCTTGGGTTCGAAGCCCAGCGCCCTCATCGCCACCTACAATGAAAACAGGACCATCTCAATAGACACAGCTAACCCTTGCAGGAGCAAAAATCAGAGCATGGAGAGTATCAAGCCAGCATCTGACACAATCAAGTTGAAATGATTGGGAGATACTACAACATTATGCAGATTGATATCTGTGCTCAATTTCATTTTATAACACTTGAGGTAAATAAAGACCAAAAACAGAGCATGGTACATCGTCCACTGATACTTTTTGCAGGGAGAAGAGGGCAAAAGGGGTAGAACAGTGACAGGGAAAGAAGATGAAGAAGTAGAGGAAAGGCAAGGCAGCACAGTGGGAATGTAAAGGGCTTGCCTTGAGTTCCTTAACATCGATGGTCCCAGTCCCATCGGCATCAAAGAGGTCAAAAGCTTCCCGGATTTCCTGCTTCTGCTCTTCAGTGAGCTCTGGCTTAGGACTCATCCTTTTTCGCTGGGCAGATGATGCCATGCTTGCCTTCTTAAAGTTAGAGGCCTTTAGATATTTTACAAACATAGAAGCACACTATTAGGTAATACAATCCATATTTTACATAAAATAATTACAAAGTGTTTTAACAATATTTACACCAAGCAATTCCAAAGCTTTGCTTAACAGAAAGTGCAATGCTTTACTGGAAAGAACAATGAATCTTTCCATGCACATCTATCCCTCCCTCTTCTTTCCCGTTGTTTCTAGAAGCAAGGAGACCCTTTGTTCCTTTGGACATCTTTTATTGAAAATCATCCCCAAAGAGATCCAGCCAAGGAGCTGTGGATAACTGTACAGATAATCAGCTACCCTTGAATTGGGGGATCCTAATTCTGGATATGTCCTTATAACACCCGCTCGCAGTATTCCACTTCCTTCTATGTACTCCGACTTTGTGATTACTTCTACATTTCGCCAAATATTACTACGTAACTAAGGTATATATTCCGCCAATACCGAATAATAAAACTCAATCCACTCGACACATCTGTGCCTCCTTCAAGAAGCTCCAAACGTCTCCCAATTGTCCCTGTACTTATTTAGAATGCACGTTAACAAACATAATAAACCTCCCCCCCTGTCCTGTGGGTAAACTTCGGTAGGGCAAGGCGGCCAGCAGGTCAGGGTCTGAAGGGTCTGGGCATGCGGGTAACCCGAGTTTTCTTTGACCAAGGGCGGTCACCGAGGGGGCTGGTAGGGGAAGGCCAGGGGAGCCCGAGGGATGGGTGGGCGCAGAGTGGGTGAAGGGGAGGCAGCGGAGAATCACAGGCCCAGGTGGACGGCCAGCGTCTCTACCCTACCCTTCCGGGAAAGAGCTCAGAGGAAGTAGGGTCACTCCAAAGCCGAGAACGGCGCCGGAGAGCTGCCAGGGCCAGATGAGGCCTGGGAAGAGCTCAGCCTCTGGGCGCAGGGCACCAAAGGCCGGCCCCCACTCACCATTGCCGATGGACTCCGCGGGCCGTTGTTACGGCAACCGACGTACACACTGATTCGGCGCTGTTCCCACCGTCCCGCGCGCGGGGCGCCGCTCCCCATTGGCGTAGGGCTGTGGTGGGAGGGTCTAACCGGACAAACGCCAGGCGCGGGGCTCGGGGGCTGCGCGCTCCCAGCAGAGACCTGGCTTCATTGGGCAGGATCATGTTCTGAGCATCGATTGGTTGAGCTGGCACCGAGCTGAGCCAATCCTCTCGGCGGAGGCATCTCGGCAGATCCTCTGCTCATGCGGGCGGGGAAGAAAAGGGTGGCCGCCGGGGCCGGAGGTCTTTCGGTGCAAACGCCGAAGGCGCGCAGGGGATCACCTACGGACGGGTAAGGATCACGACCTCATCCTTGGAGGCTGCCTTTCTAACGGCTGCTGGGCGGAAGAGTAGGGGACTGGGTGGGGCCTCTCGGTCGGGACTTTGTGAATTAGGGACCGAGGGGCCAGAGAAGACCGTGACCTTGCGTGAGACTGTGCTCAAGGGGCAACCGAGACCCAGAGAAGGGAACGGGCGTGTCACAGAGTTTTAGACCACCGAGACTTAGAAACCGAATCCAGCCGAGGCTCTTCCTTTGAGAGTGTCCGTTCTAGAGCACTGCCCCGTCCCCCGAACAGATTTTAAGAGAGGATCACTTCTCTCTCCAGTGTAAGGCCAGCCCAGGAAGGTAAGGTGGGGACTTGGGAACGGACTTTGAAGGTAGCGAAAGAGATATGAGTGACCATGACGGAGAAGTCATCAAAATATACTCTTTTTGACACCTAAACACTCGGCCGAGAAATGTGAGCAAAGTCACACAAGAGTTTTGGAAGTGTGAGGTTTTCTGTTTTTCTTTTTTTAATTTATTTTATTGTGGGGTTTTTTTTTTTCCAATCATGATAACTGCACTCTTTACTCCCTATCACCTGTGTAACTCACCCCCTCACCTGCTTCCCCTCTGGTGACCATCACTGTTTTCTCACTAGTTAAGAGCCTGTTTGTTCGTATACCTCTCTTTTTAGCCCCCTCCCATGTCCATTAGTTTTGTTTCTTAAATCCCACATATGAGTGAAATCATATGATATTTGTCTTTCTCTCCTATATTTCATTTAGCATAATATTCTCTGGCTACACCCATGTCATTGGAAATGGCAAAATTTCATTCCTTTTGATGGTTGTGTAATATTCCATTGTGTACATAGACCATGTCTTCTTTATCCATTCATCAGTTACTGCACACTTGGACTATTTCCATATCGTGGCTATCATAAATAATGCTATAAACATCAGTGTGCATGTATCCCTTTGAATTTTTATTTTTGTTCTTTGGGTAAATACCCAATAGTGCACTTATTGGATCATAGGGTAGTTCTAGTTTTAATTTTTCTTTCAACATTTTATTTATTTGACAGACAGACAAGATGAGAAAGGGAAGCAGACTCCCTACTGAACAGGGAGCCTGATGCAGGGCTCGATCTCAGCATTCTCGAATCATAATAACCTGAGCCAAAGGAAGACGCCTAACGACTGAGCCACCCAGGCACCCCTGTAGTTTTAATCTTTTGAGGAATGTCCATACGGTTTTCCACAGTGGCTGCACCAGCTTGCATTCCCACCACTAGAGCAAGAGTGTTCCCCTTCCTCCACATCCTCACCAACACCCATTTCTTGTGCTGTTGAGTTTAGCCATTCTGGAAGCTGAGGTGATCCCTCACTGTAGTTTTGATTTTTGCATTTCCCTGATGACGGCTGATGTTCAGGATATTTTCATGTGTCCGTTGCACATCTGGAGGTCTTCTATGCAGAAATGTCTGTTCTTGTCTTCAGCCCACATTTTAATTTGATTATTTGGGGATTTTTGGAGGTTGGGTTGTATCAGTTCTTTATATATTTGAATATGAACCCTTTATCAGATGTGTCATTTGCAGATATCTTCTCCCATTCAATAGGTTGCCTTTCAGTTTTGTTGATTATTTCCTTTGCCAGTCAGAACCTTTTTATTTTGATGTAGTCCCAAGTTTATTTTTGCTTTTATTGCCCTTTCCTCAGGAGACCTACCAGAAAAATGTTGCTGTAGGCAATGTCAGAAAGATTACTGCCTGTGCTGTCTTCAAGGATTTTTAGGGTTTCGGGTCTCACGTTTACGTCTTTAATCCAAAGTTCAAGTTTATTGTTGTGCATATTATGAGAAAGTGCTCCAGTTTCATTCTGCTGTGTGTGGCTGTCCAGTTTTCCCAACACCATTTGTTGAAGAGATGGCCTTTTTCCCACTGGACATTCTTTCCTGCTTTGTCATAGAGCAATCGACCACATAGTTCTGGGTTTATTTCTGGGTATTCAATTATGTTTTATGGATCTATGTGGCCTATTTTAATACCAGTACCATACTGTTTGAATTACCACCATTTTGTAATATAACTTAAAATCTGGGATTATGATACCTCCGGTTTTGTTTGTTTATTTTCAAGATTGTTTTGGCTACTCGAGGTCTTTTGTCGTTCCACACAAATTTTAGAATTGTTCGTTCTAGTTCTGTGAAAAATGCTGTTGGTACTTTGATCGCGATTGCATTAAATGTGTAGACTGCTTTTGGGTGGTATGGACATTTTAATAATATTTGTTTTTCCCACCCATCAGAATGGAATGTCTTTCCATCATCTTGAATTTCTTTCATCACTTTCTACAGTTTTCAGAGTACAGATCTTTCACCTTTTTGCGTAAGTATATTCCTAGATAGTGGATTGTTTTGGTGCAATTGTAAATGGGATTGTTTCATTAATTTCTCTTTCTGTTGCTTCATTATTGGTACATAGAAATGCAACAGATTTCTGTAAATTAATATTATATCCTGTGACATTATTGAATTCATTTATCAGTTCTCATAGTTTTGGGGTGGACTCTTTTTAGAGTTTTTTATATATAGAATGTCATCTGCAAACAGTGAAAGTTTTACCTCTTCCTTGCCAATTTGGATGTCTCTTATTTCTTTCTGTTGTCTGATTGCTGTGGCTAGGACTTCTAGTAGTATGTTGAATAAAGTGACAAGACTGGACATCCTTGTCTTCTTGTTCCTGACCTTAGGAGAAAAGCTATCAGTTTTTCCCCATTGACTATGATGTTAGCTGTGTGTTTTCCATATAAGTCCCTTAATATATTGAGGCATGTTTCCTCTAGACCTACTTTGGTGAGGGTTTTTTTTTTTAATCATGAATGGGTGTTGTACTTTGTCAAATGCTTTTTCTGCATCTATTGAAATAATCATATGGTTTTTATCTTTTCTCTTATTCATGTGATATATCATGTTGATTGATTTGCAAATATAGAGCCACCCTTGTGTCCCAGGAATAAATCCCACTTGATTGTGGTGTATGATTTCTTTCAATGTATTGTTCAATTTGGTTTGCTAAGGTTTTGTTTAGGATTTGTTGCTTCTTCATTTGTGAGAGATACTAACCTGTTCTCTTTTTCTGTGCTGTCTTTATCTGGTTTTGGCATCAGGGTGACACGGACCTCATAGAATGAATTCGGGAGTTTTCTTTCTCCCTGCTTGTTCGGAGTTTTTTAATTGCTGATTGAATTTCGTTGCTGGTAATTGCTCTGTTCCAATTTTCTAATTGTTCCTGCTTCGTCTTGGTAGGTTACATGTTTCTAGGAACTTACCCATTTCTTCTGAGTTGTCCAGTCTGTTGGTATACAGGTTTTGATAATATTCTGTTACAATTTTCTGTATTTCTCTGATGTGGGTTGTCATTTCTCCTCTTTCATTAGTGATTCTGCTTCCTTGGGTCCTCTCTGTTTTTGATGAGTCTTGCTGGAAGTTTATTAATTTTGTTGATCTTGTCAAAGAACCAGCTCCTTGTTGCATGCATGCTTGGATAATTACAAGGGGGGTGTGCAAGGGTATGGGCTGAAGCAGGGGAGCTGGAGATCCAGGAGCTGCCATCTGCAGCTAGCCCAATGTAAGAGGGTTCCCAGCCCTTATGTGCTTCCCTTCTGGGCATTGGGGCATTATTTAGCGAGGCAGGGGACAACATAAGTCTCTCAGGCTGAGAAAGGCATGCAATATATCAGCATCCATTAAGTGAAAGTGTTTGCTGACCCTTTGCCCTTTTTTCCCGGGACTACTGAGTAAAGTCCACACTCAGCCTGGCATCTGAGCCTCGTGCCCAGTTTTGCTTCTGCTAGTCCTTGCACATGGCGTCCCTCCATACCCTGCTTCCCAGTCAGCGTGCGGGGCGGCAGCCTGGCAGAGCAGAGAAAACCGCCACAAGTGCTGCGTTTGCTGTGGAACATCAGCGTGACTCCCGCCAAGTCTGCTGACCTCTCTAGGCCTGGGTTTCTCCTTGCTTTGGGGATCTTAATGGCCTAATATATTTGGATGTGAAAGGACTTGACATCTGGCAGCGTTTTGATTGGCTCTTTCCCTTCCAGGCACGCCCAAAGCCTTAGACTTGGGTCAAATCCCTTCTCCACACTCCAGCCAGAGTGATGCTTCGGATCTTAACACTCACCCTACTTGCAACTTCCTGGAGCTCCCCCATATCCTCTTGGTGTAACCCCTTAACCTGACACACAGCCCCTTCCAATTCTTGACCTTGTTCCCAGTCTTGCTTCACACTTGCTGTGACACAACTTGTCAGTTGCCAGAATATGCTGGCTCTGTGTCATCATCTTGTCCTTTCCATCCCTGGCCATGGAATGTCTTTCAGGACACCCAACCCCTGTTTGACTCACTCCTCCAGGGCCTTGAGAACTTGGCCTAGGGATCACCGTGGGCCAGCCTCCCTGCTCCGGGTGTACCTTCATCAGATCTCAGGAGCGCTTCCACGGTGTTCCGCTGAGTCTGTCTCCCATACTACATCGTGGGCTTCCTGGTGCTGTGTCCTGTGCAGGTCCTGCTTGGCGGTGGCCATTCACTGAGTGAGCCAGTGCCCAGTGCTCTTTTCCAGCTTGCAGCTCCCTTTCCCCTTGGGACTTATTTAAGGAACTCACCAAGGAGAGAAGACACTCCAGGTGGGGGGAACAACATAAGACAAAACTTGCAAGCGCGCTGATGGTTTTCTCAGGGGCCACCTCACATTCAAAGTCAAGGCCTTTCTGTGTCCTAAAAAACAGACAAGCAGGGAGACGAATGACTGACAGAAACAACCAGATACCTCAGATCTATGAAAGGACAAGATTGCACTAATTGAGTCCTTTAAGGAAGAACATTTTGCCTTGATTCCTATTTGCAGTTTTCTTGTGCACACAGGCATTTTCTGTCCACAGACTAGAGTGGTGAACTTGTGGCTCACCACATCTTAGCTTCCAGCACTGACTCCATGGAGGACAGCAGGCAGGGTCCCTCTGAATTGCTCTGTATTTCATCTTTACGAAGAAGCTGATCTCCCATGTTTTCAAAGGAGAAAACACTTGTCTTTCTGTCTGGTTTGAAGTGGACAGGTTGTCCCTTCCTTTTGCCTCCAGAACAGTTGTTGAGACCTTGCCTCAGCAGGAGGGAGGAGATTGGGCTCAGTTGGTCTCTTCCTAGATATTTTTTTTTAGTTCAAGGCTTTGTCCCAATGTGTATGGCGGGCATACATACTGGTTTTTAATGGGTTCAAAGACATAACTTTGTAAAGGGAGACAGACTTGAGGCTTCTGATATGTGAATCTTAACAATCCATGTTGCGCTTTGGGGTCTTATGTTTCCCAATCAGAGCTGTTCTGAGCCCATTTCAAGAGGACAGTGGCTGGCATCAAGTACATTTTATCACCATCCATGTCCAGAATTCTTCATCTTGTAGAACTGAAACTGTACCTGCCGAACACTTACTCCCCAATTCCCCTCTCCTCCCAGCTCCTGGCACCCACCATTGTACTTTCTGTGTGTTTAAATTTAACTCATATAAATACCTCATATAAGTAGAATCGTATAGTATTTATCCTTTTGTGACTGGCTTATTTCACTTAGCATAATGTCTTCAAAGTTCATCCATGTTGTTGCATATTATAGAATGTCCTTCCTTTTTAAGGCTGAGTAGTATTCCATTGTGTGGTTGGGCCACATTTCCTTTATCTCTTCATCTGTCAAGGAATATTTAGGTTGTTTCCATCTTGGCCATTGTGAATAGTGCTGTAATGAGCAAAGGAGGGCTAATGTTTATCTCTTCGAGATCCTGGTTTCAATTCTTTTGGATATGTACCCAGGACTAGAATTACTGTATCATATGGTAGTTCTATTTTTAATTTTGTGAGGCTCTTTTATAACATTTTCCATAGGAGCTGTACCATTTTGCATTCCATCCAACAGTGTGCAAGGCTTCCAGTTTCTCTACATCCTCACCCACACTTCTCTTTGACTTTTTTTTTAAAGATTTTATTTATTTATTTGACAGACAGAGATCACAAGCAGGCAGAGAGGCAGGCTGAGAGAGAGAGGGAAGGAAGCAGGCTCCCCACTGATCAGAGAGCCTGATGTGGGGCTCGATCCCAGGACCCTGAGATTATGACCTGAGCTGAAGGCAGAGGCTTTAACCCGCTGAGCCACCCAGGTGCCCCATCTCTTTTGACTTTTTGATAATAGCCATCGTGAGTGAACAGGAGTGAAGTGATATCTCATTATGGTTTTGATTTGCATTTCCCTAATGATTAGTGACACTGAGCATTTTTTCATGTACCTGTTGGCCATTTGTATGTCTTCTTTGGAGAAATGTCTATTCAAGTCCTTAGCCCATTTTTTAAAAACCCTTATTAGATATATGGTTTGTAGATGTTTCCTCCCATTATGTAGTTGCCAGAATTTGCTTCCTTTTTAAGGTAGAATAATACTGCATTTTGTTTATCTATTTATCCACTGATGGACCCTTGGGTCACTTCTACCTTTTTTTTAATATATATATTATTTATTTATTTATTTATTTGACAGACAGAGATCACAAGTAGGCAGAGAGGCAGGCAGAGAGAGAGGAGGAAGCAGGCTATCCGCGGAGCAGAGAGCCCGATGTGGGGCTCGATCCCAGGACCCTGGGATCATGACCCAAGCTGAACGCAGAGGCTTTAACCCACTGAGCCACCCAGGCGCCCCCACTTCTACCTTTTGGCTATTGTGAGTAGTGGTGCCAGTGAACAGGGGTGTACAATTATGTGTTCAAATTCATGCTTTCGGTTTTGGGGGCTGTATACCCAGATATGGAATTCCTTGGTCCTATGGTGATTCTATGTTTCATTTTTTGAGGAACCATATGCTGTCTCTCACATTCCCAACAGCAGTGCACAAGAGTTCCAGTTTCTCCACAGCTTCGCCAACACTTGTCAATTTCTGTTTTCTTGGGGTTTTTTTTTTATAATCACCATCCTAATGGGTGTGAGGTGGTATCATTGTGGCTTTGATTTGCATTTCCCTAATCATTAGTGATATGGAACATTGTCTCATCTTCCCATTGGCCATCTGTAAAGTATATCTTTTTTGAAGAAATGTCTATTCGATCAGAGCTATTCTTGGTGTTCATTTTAATCTGAGTGTATATCAAATGGGGGTTTAGGTTGGAGGGGATCACCAGTGGGATCTGACTCATTTTCTGAGCTCGTCTTTGGTACCCTCGTCCCTAGAGACAACTGAAGTATCACCAACATTCTCAACTGGCTCATAGTGTTTGCAGACTTTAAAGTGATTTGTATATAATTTGAGACAAAGTAGATTTGATTTTGTTTTTGCTTCAACAGGGGGTTGGTTTGTTGAGTGAGCACTGTTTGCACCGTATGGATCATGGCAGCAAAATGGCTTTCTTTTACCTCCCAGATCTTTCCCTAGAGATCAAGTGGGGAACAGGCTTAAAGGCTTCTTGCTTTTCTAACAGTACAGATGATTATGGGATCGGCAGCTGTGCTGTTTGGATTTCCGAACTGAAAGAATGCTTGTTTTGATTTGTTGTGGCTGTTGTAACAAACAGCCACAAACCCAGTAGCTTAAAACAGCAGAAATTTCTTCTCTCCCAGTTCTGGAGGCCAGAAGTCTGAAATGAAGGTGTCTACAGAGCCATGCTCCCTCTGAGGGCACCAAGGAAGGAAACTTCCTTGCCTCTTCTAGCTTCTGATGGTTCCAGACGCTCATTGGCTCACGGCCACGTTACTGCAAAGACCAACTGCCCTCTTGTTTCCTCACGCTTCTTCAGGTATCTGGGAAATAGTGGGTATTGTGAGTGGAGCACTGTAGCAACCCACCGGCCCTCAGGGAAGCTCCTGCATTTTAGAGGGGTGTCTGCATGGTAGGGAGCAGAGGGGTTCTGCTGTGCATCTGGAAAGGTCATGAAAAGTGAAGTTTTTTGAAATACGTTTTCCTGATAACTTCCATTATGATTTCAGAGATAAGTTTCCCTAAAATGGCTCCCATGGGACATAGAGGTTCATAATATCCATTTCAAGGCCATTTCATCCACCCACAAAATCATTTCCTACAAGGCCGTGTGTGTGTGTGTGTGTGTGTGTGTGTGTGTGTGTGTGTAACTAGAGGCATGGGATTGGACTGGAGCAGTCATGGCCTTTGAGATCCCAGCGTTGGCTGCCTGGCAGCCATCTTCTCACCAGTGAGTGTTCTCTGAATATGGCTTTTTGCAGGCAGTTCGATTGTTTTCTTTGTGACAGATTTCACCGTCTCCAGATAGTATCTGTTTCTCTGTTGGAAATCCATGACTTTAGTACATTGACCACTATAAAGAAAACAGGTGTAAGACCGAATACATCTAACCCAGACTGAGCACTGCTCTTGGTTTTCACGTCAGTATTGTGAGTGAATGGAGAGAGGAGCATATCCTAAGGGCTATCACAAAAGTTTCTCTTAGAAACCACTCTTCTGTTTGGCGGTGTGTGTCTTTGTCAGCCGACAGACTTCACTGTCTCGCGGTTGTGAGGTACTCGGTGCTCACCACGCTGGGGCCACTTCCTGCGGGTTTCTGATGGTCACAGACACTGGGTCCTTCCACACCTTGTCAGGGTGGCTTTCGTTTCACGGAGAAGAAGAGCTCTGTCTCCTGTTACACTCTAGCCCTCCCAGCAGCCCCTGCCCTCGCGTCACGGGGATGAGCACGTCGTCCATTTGGGGGAAACTCAGCAGCGGCAAAGAGGTTGTGTCTAGTTTGTAGCAGGGCTGGCACCAGAACCCGGGACTCCTAAGGTCTGTGCATTTTGCCACCGTACTACCACAGCGTAATGATAAGTACAGACTAACAGGACAATTGGAGCCCGTGAGCGCCATGGAAAACGCTGCAGTGCCACAGGTGTTCCTTTTGTTGTAAACGATGAGTGAAGTCATTTAACTCACTTTTCACTCTGCCTCTAATTCAAGTGTATGGTGAGTCATGGGCCCAGTCACGCCCTTGCGTCAGGAGCGGGAAGCAGGAAGCTTCCTTTAACAGCGACAGCGCTGGTTCAGCTCTTCGTGAAAACCCGCCGGGGTGGCACCCACAAAAACACGAACACCTAAGAGATGTTTCAGTCGTGTAACATGAATGTCTCTAAATATGTCTTTATGAAGAGAAAACTTCATCACAAGCGTAACCAGATTCGGAGCTGAAATGGACCAAGCATGTGATGAGCCAGTGAGAGACACACAGACACATCGGACAGAAGACATTCCCAATGTAAGTACGACATGAAAAAGATCAGCCAAAACCAGGTAAGGGGGAAGTCAAGCACACATACACTACCAGCAAACCATTGATACTAGCTGCGGGTCAAAAATTGTATTTGGTACATTTATTTAATCAATCAGTGTTGACTTTTAAGATACATATATATTTATTTAAGTTACCAGTTACTTACCGCTGTGTAACAATGTCAGAACAATGTCAGTAGTGGTTTCAACATCCGTTTCTTTGTTCATGATGCTGTGATTTGAGCAAGTGTCAGAAAAGACTTGAAGGAATTGTTAGGCCCCCCTGGAGGATCTTTGTGTAGATCTGTAGATGTTGGGTTTGACTTTTTGACTCACTTTTAATGAATGCTGACACTTCAGAAATGAAATCACACCAAGGTCAAACGTGTTTGTATCAAATGTTAATAAATTATAGACGCCCAGGAGGTGCCCTGAACCACCAGACCATCCTGGTCTTCATGCATAGCTCAGAATAAAGCCTCTAAATCGCCTCTGTTAGTTGAAGGTTAATGTGAGAGTCTGGTTGCCAAAGAAATGTAGATTTCAGTGGTTGTATCAATGGTGTTCTTTGTTGCTGGCTGACTTGATAAGAAGTAGAAGTTATAAATTTGAACTACTAAAATAAAAAGAATACTTTCATCTTACCTTATAATATATTCTATGTAAGACTTCTGAAAAGAGGCCCACTGCTAGCGACGAAGGAAAACAGAACAGGTTAAAGAAACCCAGGGGCCTAAACCATTCTCTTAGCCCAAGATCATAGTGCAATTGAAATCATTCGGTTGGCTTTCTATTCTATTCTTAAAACTCTTTCTTAAAACTCTTTCCAAGATGTTGAGTTTGTAATTTCCCTGAGTAACCCATTCTTGTGTCTCACTACCTGATTTCAGTTTGGAGTGGTTAGAACACATTTCCTTCTTATCCACTGTGCCCACTTCCTCTGCATCATCATTCGTGGCGGTAAAAAGCAAGTGGTTATCTCACACGATCTCTAACCATGTAGTATTACGGGTATGATTGGAGACATTGCCCCATCGCATACCTGACTTCTCTGAGATAAATGTCAGTTAAGTTCCCATCATTACAAAAAAGTCTCTCCCCCTCCTCCCCCATGCACATGCTCTCTCCTTCTCTCTCAAATAAATCAATAAATCTCTTTTAAAAAAAGGATTATCCACATTTAAAATCATGAAATGAAATTACACTGGACATAATAGAAAGATTATTTGATTTTTTTTAATTAGAACATCAAACTTTGAAACAACTGTAACTAGAGATGCCGGATAATATAACCAAAATAATCTGAAATCCTGTGGGATACTATCAAAACATGTCTAGTCTGAACACCTTTGGATTCAGGCAAACTTTTAGTAAACCGTGAAAAATCAGTTTGGGGAGCAGGGAGGCTTGGAGTTATCTAAAAATACTGCATTTTCCTGTACAGATGACTTGAGGAAAGGAGAAGGGGTAGCCCACATGAGGATCAAATGGAATTGCATATTTAGTTTGCCTGTGTCCTGCAGAAAGTCAAAATTTGAGTCGAAGTGCAAATTATTTACCATGGTATGATGACATGTATGTGGGAGTCATCAAAACAAAACCTAGACAGAAATGGGTTCAAGAGATCATTTGGTGTCGGGGGTGGAATGGCAAGGCTGGTTATGTCAGTAGATTATGCAGGCCCGGACCAATGATGCCAAAGCTCCAGAGCCATCTCCAGGTGGCCCGAGGGACTCCACTAAAGATGCCCGCCTGGATGGGACACCAGGTTGAAGGGGTGAATGTGTAGAAGGGACCCCGGCGCCTCCCGAGTCTCCTGCATATCGCAGTCATAGAGGTATTTAAGGACAAAGTAGAGGGGTTGGTTGACTGTTTTCTAGTCAGGAGCAGAATTGCTTTTTTTTTAATTTTTCATTTAAGATTTTGTTTATTTATTTGACAGAGAGAGAGATCACAAGCAGGCAGAGAGGCAGGCAGAGAGAGAGAGGGGGAAACAGGCTCCCTGCTGAGCTGAGAGCCCGAGGCGGGGCTCGATCCCAGGACCCTGGGATCATGACCTGAGCCGAAGGCAGAGGCTTTAACCCACTGAGCCACCCAGGCGCCCCAGAATTTCTTTTTTTTTTTAAACATCTTAATTTTATTTTATTTTTTTCATGTTCCAAGGTTCATTGTTTATGCACCATAGCCAGTGCTCCATGCAATCCGTGCCCTCCCTCATACCCACCACTAGGCTCACCCATCCCCCCCAATTCTGTCCCCTCTAAAACCTAGAATTTGTTTCTCAGAGTCCACAGTCTCTCCCCCTCCAATTTCCCCCAACTCTGTTCTCCTCTCCATCTCCTAATGTCCTCCATGTTACTCCTTGTGCTCCACAAGTAAGTGAGACCATATGATAATTGACTCCCTCTGCTTGGCTTGCTTCACTCAGCATAATCTCTTCCAGTCCCTTCCATGTTGATGCATATGTTGGGGATTCATCCTTTCTGATGGCTGAGTAATATTCCGTTGTATATATGGACCACATCTTTAATGTCTTCCGTTTCCACACTCCCAGCTCTGATGATCTTAGGGAGAGAGAATGGGGATTTGTCACCTTCAGGAAGCCCAGATATGGTTTCCAAAAGTCCCCCAGGGTGTGCCTTCAGAGGCACTTGGAGCCAGCTCAATCAGTATGCAGCAGATGCAGTTTTACACCGCCTCCCCGGTGTCAGAGTATTGAAGTGCCCGCATCTGGTGCTCTGGCCTTCCATTATCCCCAGTTAGCGGAATTGGAATGTAACTAAGAAGGGGCACAAGTTGCAAAAGCTGAAATGTAAACACCACGGCTCTTCCTGATACCTCAACTTGCTCAGGGCTCAGAGAAGGGAAAACAAGTCCTGGGCCTGGCTGATTAACAGTTTGCCGATCCTCCCTGCAACCCCTCAGGAGATCCTACCAGACAGCAACAGTCTTGGATATACTAAGGCAGGGAGTGGGTAGGCGACAAGCCTGAAGTCACGCAGCCCAGCCCTGGACTGGTTAGGGAGGGAAAGGGGCTTTGTCCTGTGAGCATAGAGACCTTGCTTTCTTCTCTGATGGTTTAAGTGGACATTGTCAGTTGAGTGGGTGGTATGTTGTTCTGTTTTGTTTCTGTTTCTTATGCCTTAGAAGTCCCAGGCCTCAGTTATTAGGAGCAAGAAGTATCGCTTTGGGGTTTTTTGTATTGTCCAGTTTTGATCGTTGGTAGTTTCATTTTTCTTCGGAGATGCCTCCTGCTCCTTTCGTTAAATGTGCAGCGTGCATGTATGAGATCATCCAGTCCAGCCACATCTATCTTGGTCTCATTTGCTCTCTCTCTTTCCTTCTTAACTGACCCCGGGAGATGAGGGTACCACTGGCGATAGAGCACGAGAAGTTCAAACAGCTAGATGCGCTTTGTAGCTTCCAGTGCTCACGTACCACCTACCACCCCTTTCTTTCTACAGGCCACTAAGTGCACAGTTATCGGAGGTTCTGGATTCCTGGGGCAGCACATGGTGGAGCAGTTGCTGGCAAGGGGCTACACTGTCAATGTATTTGATATGCGGCAGGGGTTCGACAATCCCCGGGTGCAGTTCTTCCTAGGAGACCTCTGCAGCCAACAGGTAATGCACCACCCAGCCTTGTCAGGGTTCCACAGGCCCCCAGAAGGAAACTACAGGCTTGCCCGACTCCCAGGTCAGCCACATTGTTTAAAAAAAAAAAAAAACATGTTTTTGAAAAATTTTGAAGTTACAGGAAAGAACGTAACCCACATTCGGTCAGTACAACTCTACTCTGCCATGGTACTGGGAAAGCAGCCGAGCTCTGCGCATGAGTGGGTGTGGCCATTGGCCAGGACACCTTCATTTGCAAACACAGTTGTCCACCAGCTATAGCGTACCTCCTGCTGTTGCAGAGTATTCCGTTGGCCTTGAGACAGCATGGGTCAGGGCATGGACCCCCATGCAGTTGTAAATCTGTGTACAACTTTTGACTCCCCAAAAGCTTGGGGAGTCCCCAATAATCTACTCTTGGCCAGAAGCCTTGCTGATAACATAAACAGTCAATTAGCACACATTTTGTGTGTTGTATGTGTTATATACTATATTCTTACAATAAAGTAAACTACAGAAACGAAAATGTTATGAAGAAAAACAAAAGGAAGGGAATTGAAACAAAAATTTGAAAAAGAAAACCATAAGGAAGAGAAAATACATTCATGGTACTGTACTGTATTTATGTAAAAACTACATATAAGGGGACCCGTGCAGTTCAGACCATATTGTTCAAGGGTCCCCTGTAATGCCCAGAAGTGCAATTGCTGGCTTTCAGGAGTTTTTTTCATTGAGATTTGCTTCACATTCTGTAAATTTAACATTTTTAAAATATACAACTCAGTGGTTGTTAGTGTATTCACAGAGTTGTGTGACAATCACTTCTATCTCATTCCAGAACATTTTTGTCCACCAAGAAGAAAATCCCAGGCCCATTAGCAATCGTTCCCCATTTCCTCTACTACCCTCCCAGCCACTGACAAGCACTCCTCTCCTGTCTCTCTGGAGGTGCCTATCTAAGTGGAGTGATGCGATATCTGTCCTTTTGTGACTGGCTTCTTTCACGGAGCATCACGTTTGCAGGCTTTATCTGTGTCATAAGGGTATTAACATTTTGAATTTTATTAGATGTTGCCCTATTGCTCAGCAAAGCTGCTATGCCAATTTTCCATTCACACCAGCAGCGTGGTAGGTAGGATCGCCATTATTGTACGTCTTTGCCAACATTTGATGTAGTTAGACTTTCTGGTGTCACCATTCTGAAAGGTGTAGAATGGTACCTAGGTGAGGCTTACAGGCATGTGCCCTCCCTGTTCAGGATGCCAGGCTCTGCTCTTTGTTGATGGTCTGTGAGGTTGCCTGTCAGTGACCTTTGTCCATTTGTGTTTGGCTTACCTTGTTTTTCTTATGGCTCTGTAATTCCTTTCTATCTGGAATGCTGTGTCACAGATAGCTTCCCTTAGCCCATCAGTGACCTTTTTTTCTTGGCTTTGGCATCCTTTACTATGGTTTTGTTACTTTGAATTTTAAGATACGGCTTCCCCTCCAGGCTGTTTTCCCTCCCACACTGCCCACGCCTCTGAGCCTGGAGATGGGGTAGAAGTCTTCCTTGTTTGTCATTGCCACTTCCTCACTGCCCTGAGGTCCCTCTGGCTGTGTGGGGGATGCGGCAGATTGTACATACCCCAGTGCCCTTCCCTGTGACAGTCCTCCATGGGCACCTGCTCCCTTTCCCAACTTTCCCAGGTGGCTCCTTCTCATTTCTTAGTGATTTTAGTTCCTGGCTGAGGTCAGCCTTGTCATAATTGCTGATGAGCTCAGTATTCACACACATGACCCTGCCAGTACTCTCGCCTCACCTCTCCTTGGCCTCCTCTCATTCTTGGCCTCCAGGCCTGTTGTCATCCCCCGCCCCAGAGCCTGTTGTCACCAGTAAATGTGTCCTCTCCACGATCTCACTTGCAGGCCCTCCGCTCTGAGCAGCACCTACTGTCTTTCTAGTTCAGGCCCTCTAATACCTGCGCTGTACCAGACATCGGGCTCCTTGCCACTGCCCTTCACCCCGTTTGTGTCCTCACTGCCTTGAAGTCCATGACTGACTCACTGTCTTGCATAACACTTAGCCGCCTTGCCTCTTTCTTCTTGTCTCTATCGTCAGTCAGGGCGCTCCAAAGAAACAACCAGTAAGGTGCGTGTGTATGTAGACAGAGGAAGTGGCTGGGGGGCTGGCGATAGAATGAGATTTAATGAAAGAATTTGGCTCGTGTGATTGTGGGGCTGGCAAGACCAATTTGCAAGGCAAGCCAGCAGGCAGGAGACTTGGGCGAGACGTGCTGCTACAGTCCTGAGGCAGAATTTTTTCTTACAGAAACCTCAGGGTTTGCTCTTAAGGCCTTTTGAGTGAGTAGATGAAGCGTACCCAGAGGACGGAGGACACTCTCCGGTCCTTAAAGTCAGCTGATGACAGGTGTCAACCCCAGCTGTGAGATACCTTTGCAGCAGTACCTAGACCAGTGTTGGATGGAATAACTTCCTCGGCGTAACCCCAGCCATGTTTAAATCTGATTCTCCTTCCTCCCTGGGAGCCTCTGGGCAGCTGAACGGGGCTGGAGAAGAAAACATAAGGTTTCTGCCTCTTTCTACTGACCATGGCCTTCAGCCAGCCCCACTGGGGATTCTGGTCTTCTTCTCCCGCATCAGCAATGGGTCCTTCTCCACCCAGTCATAGCCAACAACACGCAGACACATTGCAGAATCACCCATCTTAAGAAAGCAAAATACCCTGATGTGTGCTCCCACTTCTCTCCACCGTCACAGGAGAGCTCAAAGAGCCATTTGCCCTTGCCGCCTGTGATTGCTTCATTCCACTGTCTGTTGCAAGCACTCCCATGAGGTTGTCACCAGCAACCCCTGTCACAGCCACCGAGGACCTGGAGGCAACCAGATCCAGTGGCCAAGCCTAGGACACCCCACTTGCCCATTTCTCCTCCTGCCATTCTGCCTCATTAGCTCTGTAATATCTGAATGTAGCAGGCTCCAGAGCTCACTGCTTACATCTCTTTCCTTCTCTGAGCACACTTGGTGTCCAAGCGAAGCCCTCCGTCCCCGGCTCACAGACGAAGTACAGTGTCGGGGCTGACAAGCTCCAGCTTGAGATCTGCAGCCTGTAGCTCTGCTGGACTCGTGTCCATCCAGCTGCCTGCTGGACATCTCTGTGTGGATACATAATAGACATTTGTACTTGCCCTGTTCACAGTTCACAGTTCAGCTCCTGGTTCCCTGCTGCGAGTTCCCGCCCCCACTACAGCGAGTCCCCGCCCCCACTACAGCGAACCTACTAAAGTCCTGTCTGTCTCAGTAAATGGCCCACTCTGTCCTCCCAATTGCTTTGTCCAAAAACATTAGATTTAGGGGCACCTGGGTGGCTCAGTGGGTTAAGCCTCTGCCTTCGGCTCAGGTCATGATCTCAGGGTCCTGGGATCGAGTCCCACATCGGGCTCTCTGCTCAGCGGGGAGCCTGCTTTCTCCTCTCTCTCTGCCTGCCTCTCTGCCTACTTGTGATCTTTGTCTGTCAAATAAATAGAATCTTAAAAAAAATAAAAAATAAAACCAGGCTTCTTCATATTAAAAAAAAAAGAAAACATTAGATTTACCCTTGATTCCTTTCTCTTGTACCCTCCATCTCATTCATCAGCAGATTGTGTCCATTGAACTCTCAGAATAGATCCCCAGTCCAGCGACTTCTCACTCCTTCCTTTGTTACCGTGCTGGTCCCAGCCACCACCTTGTTAATGCGTGAGTCAAATCGTGATGCCCCTCTGTTCAGAAGCCTCCAGTGGTCCATTTCTGTTTAGCGTAAATGTATAGGCCCTTATCATCACCTTCGAGGCCCTGCATGATCAGCCTCACTCCCTCTCTGGCCTCACCCTGTCCTATACTCATTCAGTGCTGCAGGCACGCTGGCCTCTTTCCTACTCCTCAAACTCACCAACTGTGTTTCTGCCTCAGGACCTTTGTACTCACTGCTCTTTCTGCCAGGAGTGCTCTTTGTGAACCACAGAGCTTGCTCCCTAAATTTGTTTAAGTCTCTCCAGATCACCTTTATTCTACCTGAGCTTTCTGTATGACACTTGGTACTACCTGATGTACCCTATGTCTGCTGGTTTCTCCGCCCACCGCCCCCACAGAAAATAAGCTCCATGAAGGCAGGGATATTGTCTCTTCAGATCACTGCTGGGTCCCCTCAAAGGACATGAGGCTCCATAGCAAATTTCAGCTTCCCTCCCAACTGCTCCTGTGATGGTGTTGCTAGTATTTGTTTACAGATTTGTTGTAAACACAAACTCAAAGCGAGACCCGCTACCATGGTGTGTTGCTCTCAGGCACCTGCAGAGACAAGGAGAGAGTCGCCCTTAACCAGGGCCAGAGTTTGCCAGACCAGCTTGGTGAAGACAGACATGAGCAAGGCCGAGACCGCCATGATGGATCATGAAGTCCAAACTCAGGAGGCCATGAAGAGGGTGAAGGACATTCAGAAATGGGTGTGAAAGTTACCGCTTGGGTTTTCTGCCATATTCTTGAGTTCATTCATCAGTACTTCTTATTCCCCATTTCTTTCTCCCAGGTTCCTTCCTCTTCTTCCTGAAGCATTTCCTTTAGCATCTCTCACTGAATATCTGGGCACTGAGCTGAGTCCTCATGTGCCTGAGAATGTCTTTATTTCACCCTCTCATAAATGCTGATTTGCTGGGAGAGGTGCGGAATTTTAGGTTCATAATTATTCCTCCCGGTGCTCAATCTGATCATCATTCCTTTGAGGGTCAGCTGGGTTTCCTCTCGTGCCTTTTAGGATTTTCTTTTTTATCCCATGTGTTTTGTAGAGAATATGTCTAGGTCTGTATTTTAGTTTTATATTTAAAACCTACTCAACAGCTAGTGGGCCTTAAAAATCTGAGGACTCATGCCTTTCCTCATTTCTGGAAAATTCTTCAAATATTGACTATACCTCCATTCTCTATTTTGTTTCTTTCTGGAAGCCTTACCGGACATACAGTAGAGTCTTCATTATAATCTACATGTCTGTTAGTTTCTCCCTCATATGTTCTTTCACTTTCTGTCTTTGTAATATTTTATAGGTTTCCTGTTTCGTGTCCAGTCATGGAGAGTCTTGCTTCACCTGTATCCCCACACCACCCTCAGATTATTTTGAAGCCAATCCTAGGCACCATTATCATTTTTTTTATAAATATTTCAGTATTTGTCTCTAAAAGATAAGGAGTCTTTTTAAAGATTTACTTATTAATTTGAGGAGGAAAGAGCATGAGTGGGGGAGAGGCAAGAGGGAGAGGGAGAGAATCTCAGGCAGACTCCACACTGAGCATGGAGCCCAGGGAGCTTGATCTTCCGACCCCAAGATGAGACCTGAGCCAAAACCAAGAGTCTGATGCTTAACTAACTGTACCCAGGTGCCCCCTCCCTTTTTGCAAGACTTAAAGGAGCCGTTTTTTTGCATTTTTAAAATATTTATTTATTCACGAGGGACGGGGGCGCAGAGGCAGAGGGAGAAGCAGATTCCCCATGGAACAGGGACCCCGATGCGAGACTCGATCCCAGGACCCCGGGATCATGACCTGAGCTGAAGGCAGTCACTTAACCGACTAAGCCACCCAAGTGCTCCTTAAAGGAGCCTTTTTAAAAACACAATTCCATGACTACACCTAAAACACTCTGACAATTCCTTTATCTCCAACCTGTGTTCAAATATCCCTGAATGTCTAATAAGAATTTTTATGTAGATTTTTTTCCAAATAAGGAGCCAAAAAGGTGAAGACATTGAAGTTGATTGACCTAGTTAAGTCTCTCCTATATGTTCCCCTTCCCATTTTGTTTGTCGAATAACCGATATTTAGTTAAAACTGTGCTTATTGTCCTACAACATTTCCCAGGGACTAGATTTCACAGATTGCATCCCCATGGTTTTGTTTGCTATGTCCCTCTGTCCTCTGGTGTTCTCTCCAAACTGGAAGACCTAGGACTGCACTGTCCAGTAAAGCAGACTTAGAATAGAAAAAGGGGATATAGATAACTCATAAATGCTTTTTCTATCGATTACATGTCGAAGTGATAATATTTTGGATAATCTTATCTTAAAATATGTTATAATTATTTTCATCTGTTTCTTTTTACTTTTTTGATGTGGGTCCTACTAAATTTAAAGTCACAGCTGTGCCTTGTATTACTATATTTCTAGTAGACTAAAAGCTGGATATGACTTTGGTTCCATTTTTTCTTCTGGGGCACCAATAGCAATCAGCGTTATCTAATGCTCAGATTTTCATTGCTAGACACAATTGCCCATAGAAGAAAACAGGGCTCCCATTCAGGACTCTGAGCGGGGGTGGTCCAAGTGAGCCTGAAACGCTTTCTTAGGACAGAATTAGGAAGTACTCATGGGCACCTGGGTGGCTCAGTCCATTAAGTGTCCGACTCTTGAACTCAGCTCAGGTCTTGATCTCAGGGCTGTGATTTCAAGCCCTACATTGAGCTCCATTCTGAACATGGAGCCTACTTTTTTTAAAACGTGTTCAAAAACTAATGGGAACATACCAAAAGAATGCAAGAACCAACTTCAAGAACCCCTACTAGCCAAATTTGGGACGTTTTAAGCCTCACAATAGACAATAGTAGTGGATTGTAATGCATTGAATAAAATAAGAATCCATGTGTCCATGGAAATGCTAAAAAGAAAAATTATATAGAGGAATATAATCTACATTACATATGTAGATAATGTACAATTACATATGTAGATAATAAATTCTACATTACATAATGTAGAATATAATCTACATTACAGAGGAATGTCAACTAATAAAAGTAAAAATTAGGATTTTACCATTTTGCAACCAGTATGTTAATAATTGTTCCAGGCAAGAATCATCACTGAATGTTCCAGATTCAAAGAAACAGAAGAGATAGGAGGACTAAATGTAATATGATCTGTGACTGGATCCTGGATCGAAATATAAAAATGCCTTTAAAGGACATTATTGGGACAATGGGGGAAATTTGTATATAGACTGATTATTGGAAAAGAGTGTCCTATCCTGTAACCTTTCTTGTATGTGATCATTATTTAGCAGTATTTAGGAAAATGTCTTTGTTGTTAGAAGATACGTAGTGAAGAGCTTAGAGGCAAAGTGGCACATTGCCTGCAGCTCACTCTCTAATGGTTTCAAAAAAAATCATATGTCCATTATCTACACAAAGACAATTATGGAAAAATATTGATAATCATTGAATCTAGGCACGTAATTCATGATTGTCTTTCTTTTAGTAATGTGAATCTATTGATGGTCATTCTTAGATCTTATTACCGAATGAACGTTTCAGAAAATGGTGACATGCTATCTTTCTTTAATTGATTCAGTTCTTTGCTTGGCCTTACCTTTACTCATTAGTTTATAGAACAAATTCTTATTCTTACTGGTGATCAAATTGTCCCTTCTTGGGACAGTGAGAGCCTCTTCAGGTTAACTCTTGAGTTCAACAGGACCCCAGGAGTCTTGGCTAGCGTCCTTACTTTGTGATTTGACAAGGTGTTCCTGGCTTTTCTTGTCTATTTCCTGACCCAGATCTGCAGTCAGCCATTGCTCCCAGGAGTTTTGGTTCCTTTTAGCAGTAAATCAAATGGACATGTTTTCCTTCCCTTTCAGATTGCTGTTCTATATCTATTTTCACAGAAAGGAATACTCCTTGTATTGGCTATTTGCACTGCCTTTCATGGTATGGAACTTTTTCATGTGATTCATAGTTTGTATCTATTTTCCCAAGACTTTTACCCCCAGGTGTCTTGTATTGTCACACTCCCCCACCCCCATGGTGCACAGAGGTACAGATATTACCTTCTTCTGGATCCCACAGGTTTCTAAAGCCCTAACACAGTTTTTATTGGGGACTAGTCAATGGAGAGAGGCAATTGAAGGGACAGCATGGTTCCCATCCTAGGTACTTAGTTTGACTCTTTTACAATGAGATGTATTTTCATGTTAATTACAATGAGATGTATTTTCATGTTAATTACAAAATTATAAAAGGGCAAGACACCTACGTGCCACAGATTGGACAGTGGGAATGTGAGGAGGCTGTTTACTTGTCTAAAGCGGGAGTGATTTTTTTTTGTCTTTGTTTGCTTTTCCAGGATCTGTACCCAGCTCTGAAAGGTGTAAGCACAGTTTTCCACTGTGCATCACCCCCACCATCCAGTAACAACAAGGAACTCTTTTATAGAGTGAATTACATTGGCACCAAGAATGTCATTGAAACTTGCAAAGCGGCTGGGGTTCAGGTAAGGGGAAAGCTGAGTGAGTGCTGTCAGGAGCATGTCATGGCCCTTTCTAAGTGTGGGAGCCAGGATTCTTCTTGTTCTCTTCCTGGGCCTAGCCAGGCTTGCTTCCTAAAGTGTTAATGCAGATTCTAGAAACTGAGTCCTATTTGCTGCTGGGCCAACGTGAGCTGCATGTCAATAGGCCATTTAAGGACCCTAAGGCTTAGTCTTTGGTTAAAGAGCCATAAAAGTGTCGATATTGCTTTTATTTTTTATTGTGGTTAAATAAATGTCATACAATTTACCATTTTAACCATTTTTTAAAAGATTTTATTTATTTCCTTATTTGACAGAAAGAGTGGGAGATCACAGGCAGGGGGAGTGGCAGAGGGAGGGTCAGAGAGAGAGGGAGAAGCAGGCTCCCTGCTGAGCAGGGAGCCCAACACGGGGCCCTGTTAAGGCCCCTGGGATCATGATCTGAGCCGAAGGCAGTCGCTTAAGCAACTGAGCCCCCCAGGCGCCCCTTAACCATTTTTTAATTTACAGCTCAGTGGCATCAAGTGCATTCATATTGCTGTGCAAACATCCCCACCGTCCTCCTGAACTTTCATCTTCTCAAACTGAAACTCCATCCCCATTAAGCATCAGCTCCCCACCCCCTCCTCTCCAAGCCCTTGGTACCTACCATCCTACATTCTGTTTCCATGAATCTAGAGATGTCAAAGAAGTGGACTCATACGGTATCTGTACCTTTCTGACTAACTTACTTCATTCAGTGTGATGTGTTCTAGGCTCATCCGTGCTGTACCGTGTCTCTGAATTTCCTTCTTTTTTTTTTAACCGCTGAATAATGTTTCATTGAGTGGATAGACCACATTTTGTTTAGCCATTCATCCACCAGTAGACATTTGGGTTGTTTCTACTTTTGAGAAAGTACTGTGCATCGTGCTGCCAGGAGCATGCCTGTGTCGATACCTGCTCCCGTCTCTGCTTGCAGTTCTTTTGGGTAAAGACCCGGAAGTGGAATTCCTGGGTCAGACAGTAATTCTGTGTTTAACCTTTCAAGGAACTGCCATACTGTTTTCCAGACTTTGCCTCTATTTTCAAGCTATTTACTTTTCACCAATAGAAACCTGTTATAACTCAGACCTGAGGAGCTATACATTTCTACCACATGCTTTGTTACAAATGCGGGTTCTCGGCTCACCCTTATGGGGTCCCCGGCGTCATCAGCTGGCCCAGCAAGAACATCTGAGGAAGAAGCTCTAAAGGGCTCAGTGCCCTGGAAAGGAAGGATCAGGGTCAAAACCACCCCTTATGCTTTGCAAATGGCAAGGAACTTTGCCCTGCAGTTGTCACCTGATTTGCTCCTGGATAGCTAACCGGGAGCTACTAATGTCACTTAAGAGGTGAGGAAATAGCCCTTTGCTAGTAAATGAAAGAGGTGGGACTCAGATCAGACTCTCTGATGGCAAATCCCGGCCTCCTTAGTCTACACCATGCTTGTGTAACTAGAGTTTGGAATTTTCTGGCTGCTGTTTTTTAAATGGAATAACCTTGTTATCCAGAAAAGATTCAGGAATGACATAGCACCCATATAATCATCACAGCATTTCAGTAACGTCACCGGTGGAATTGAAGTTCTATGTGTATCCATTCTCGAGGCCTTTGCTGTCCTTGCCCACCCCTGGGGAACCAGTGTTCTTAATCCGGATTTATCGTTGCTGTTTTGCTCCAGGTGCAGCCACAATATAAGTTATCAGTTTCTATAAAGTTAAAAACTTTATAGAAATGATATCTTGACTCTATCTTCCTGCAACTTGCTTTTTTCCCCCAATGTTATGTTTTTGAGACTTACCCATCTCGTGCTCCCTCTATCCCTCCCTCCCTCTCTTTCTCTCGAATGAAAAGAAAAAGGAAAAAAATGGCTTTCATGTTGTATTTAGGAATCATTTGATAAGAGTAACATCAAAAGATTATTTGATTTGGGGTTTTTTCCCCAAAGGTTTAAAGCGTTACTTTGCACATTTAAATCTTTAATCCACCAGGAATTTGCGTTTCTATATGGTCTGAGGTACCGATTGAATTTTTGTTGCTTGGCACCATTTATCCCGCGATCCATCCTTTCCACCCGCCCAGCGCCCCGTCCTGCACACCGCAGGCATCGGTGCCTCGCATGGGTCTGTTGCAGTACTCTCTTCCACCCGGTCGGCCTCCGCCTGCGCCCGTGCCACCGCGCTCTGCCCTCACAAGCAAGCCATAGGATGAATCTCAGTAACTGCTGGGACAAGCCACCCCCAGCTGTGTTCTTCAGAATCTGCCCGGCTGTTCTTAGCTCTCTGCTCATGCATCTAAATTGTAGAATCAGCCTGTCAAGTTCCTCTTGGAATCATTACTGTAACTGCATCAAATTTAAAGGCAGTTTGGGAGAGCACAGATACCTTGCCGATACTGAGTCTCTGTATCCATAGACACATCATCTCTTTCTCTCTCGTGAATGCCTTTTAATACTTTACCCTTTACTTTAGAAGGGTTTTGCACATCCTCTGTCAAGTTTATCCCTCTGTACCTAATTTTTGGTTATTGAAGTAATATCTTTCATATTACATTTTTAATTGCTAACGCATAGAAACACAGTTGGTTTTTGTATATTGATTTTGTACTCCCCAGAACTGTAAAATTTTCTATATGTTCATAATGTTTTCTACGTAGACATTTCCAACAACTGTGAATGGTGATAGTTCTGTCTCTTCTTTCCAAATTATTCCTTGTTTGTCTTAACCCACCGTGCCTGCTAGGACTTCAGTACAATGTCGAATAAAAGTGGTAAAGCTATGATTCGAGCTAATGGTGTTCAGTATTGGGCGCCGCCCTTAACCAGAGGGAAGCGGAGACCCTCGTAGGAAATCAGTATGTATAAATGAGACTACTAAAAATAATAATGGTAAAGGAGAACAACTTTGAGGCATTTGGGGGTTTTTTTAAGATTTTATTTATTTATTTGACAAAGAGAGAAATCAAAAGTAGGCAGAGTAGCATGTGGATGAGGGGGAAGCAGGCTCCCTGCTGAGCAGAGAGCACAATGCTGGGCTCGATCCCAGGACCCTGAGATCATGACCTGAGCTGAAGGCAGAGGCTTAACCCTCTGAGCCACCCAGGCGCCCTCAATTGGGCATGTGTACATGTGCTGACATGCCAGGGTTGGCCTTAGAATCACAAAGCATCTCTTTGAGACAGACATGACCCTTGGAGTTTGTGGGCTATCCTTTTCCCTTGGGGAATCATTCCCATACTGAGATACCACAAATAATGGAAGTCCGTACCATCTCTCAGTAGTGATAGCAGACAAAAAAGGTGAAATCCACTGTTTTAGAATGTAATAGAATGTGTGTCAAATCCACGTAGCTACAGAAGAAGGTGAGCTTTGAATTATTTTAAGAAGGCCTGAAAAGCAATAAATCATTTATATGGTTACAAAGTGGGCCATTTGATTTTGTTTCATGTATGACCATCAGCTTCTTTAAATAGTGATCATTTCTTGTATTTTTTAAATCTTCCTTTCTCTTCTGCCAGAAACTCATTTTAACCAGCAGTGCCAGTGTCATTTTTGAGGGTGTCAACATCAAGAATGGAACTGAAGACCTCCCTTACGCTGTGAGACCGATTGACTATTACACGGAGACAAAAATCTTACAGGAGAGAGTATGTACCCGAGAACTGGTTGAGTGACAAGCAAGTTCCATGAACATCTGGATGGTTTAGATTTTTCAGAAAAGTATTTATGCCGTTAATGTTCTCAAGCCTGCATACCTAACTGGGGAAGTGAACTTTGGGGCTGAAATTCAACTTTAAAAACGATGCCAATAGCTTAATGTGACCAGACAGGGGTCTGAGTATTGTACAGGAAGTACCTCGTTTAAGCTTCACAAGGAGCCCGTAAGGGAGACACTGTCGGCAGCAGCAGGTTATGCCGGAGGACAGTTGATGCGCAGGGATTCAGTTGCATCTTGAGGCCGTGCCGCTGGGAGGGGCCCGAAACCACAGGGCCTCCAGGCCACGCAAGGTCAGCAGTTGCCGTAGAAATCAGAGGCAATTTATGCTGACCCCGGGCACACAGGCAGAACTTGGGCTTAACACACAAGTGTTTTCATTTGAACACGCCTTCCTAGGGGCACTCTTGCCCCCCTCCCTTATTTAAGTTAAACCATGAAAGGATCTTGCTTTATTTTAAGGAAAAGTACTTGGGAAGGTAGTGATTCCCACTTGGCAGGCCCACTTTGCCAGGGAGGACCTGGTTCTCATAGCAGTCCGCGTTGAGTAATGGGCACCAGGCCTTCGGACTCCAGAGCAGCCGGCCCCAGCACTAGCGTCCAAGGAGAATATTACTGTAAGGACAGACTCACTTGAAGGCCATGGATGCCTGTGGGCCACAGACAACTTGCCTTAGCTGGGGAAGCTGCGAGTGCCTCTCCCAGGTGTTTGCAGCATGTCCCACATCGAGCTAGAGCTTAGTGCTTGCTTGGCGTGAATTCCTCTGAGCTGCCCGAGAGCCAGTTGCCTCCCATCTGTTTGCTGTCACTCCAGGTCAGAAAGTTCCAGAACTCATCTGCAGGCAGGCACAAGGGCCTCCCCAATCCAGGGGCAGAAGCCTGGCCTTTTGTAAGTCAGAGTCCCGTTTCCAGGTTCTGCCACCCTGTTCCTGGGAGCACAGGGAGCTTTCCAGAGCTCCCACCTGTGAGGACTTAACCCGGAAGCACCGAGGCTGTTGCCGGGCCTCGTGTACTTTGATTCAGGCACCGAGACTCCCACCTCCTGTGCTCAGGAGCTGCAAGGGACAGCCATGGCTCAGACCATCAGTGTCTCACTTGCCTTGACGTTGGGTGCCTGATGGTAAACTCAGTCAAGTAGCTTAACATCACTGGAACTAAAATGTACACAGGAATTTTGTCACCATAGAGTAGAAATCCTAGGTGAGGCATTACAGTAAGTGTCCTTATCAAGCACGTACTTCCTGAGTCAAGTGACATAAGTCATGTTATAAGTGCACAGTCCCATCTAGGTAGGAATTGTCATGGTCACCATTTTGACCAATAACATAACAAATCATATAGGATGTTTTGTTACTTTTGAGGCAAAACCTCTTTGTACTTTAATCCCTTAAGTTCTGGTTTGTCCACTGAGCCTCACAGGACACATCTTAAAGAATTGACCTGTTTCTCCCAGACCGTTTACCTTCTCAGCCCCTTCTTCCTGGCTCACTTGGGTTCATCAGAGTCCCTTCCTAGGGGGTGGCACTCAGAACTGACCAGAACAGCTCAGGACTGGTGTGAACTAGCACATGGAACTTAAGGCAAGAAGGGCAGAGGCTCATGGCTAACTCATTGCCTGGAACCCTCAGATCTTTTCCACAGACTGCGGCCAAGGCTCATCTTCCCCTGACTGCATTTGTGCATTTTAGTCTTTGAACCCAACCCCAGGCCTTTCTCTTTGATCATGCCGTTGTTGTTGTTGTTTTAAGTAGGCTCTGTGACCGATGTGGGGCTTGAACTCAAAGCCCTGAGATCGACAGTCACATGGTCTACTGACTGAGCCAGCCAGGGGCCCCTGATCATACTGGTTTTGACCCAGCTGTGTCTCCCGTAGGTGGATGGGATAGAGAAGTAGCCCCAAATTATACCAGAGCAGAAGTCAGCCTCTGTGTCCCCTGACATGCCCCTTCTGCTCCTTTACAGGAAGTCCTGGGTGCCAATGATCCCAAGGGGAATTTCTTAACCGTGGCCATTCGCCCTCATGGCATTTTTGGCCCAAGGGACCCCCAGTTGGTGCCCATTCTCATCGAGGCAGCCAGGAGGGGCAAGATGAAGTTCATGATTGGGTAAGTTGGCCCACAGTTGGTCTTCTCCCTGGCCCCTAACAAAGATCAGTCTTGTTTGGTTAGCTCTTATCTAATGCTGCCTTCTCTGCTGCCCTCTGTGTGGGTTTCTGGCGGCTGCCCCCAACAAATGACCACAAACCGAGGGGCTTAAAACAACAGAGATTAATGCTTTCTCAGTTCTGGATGCAAGAAGTCTGAAATGAAGGTGTTGGCAGCATTGGTACCTTCTGGAAACAGAGGGAAAATCTGTTCCAGGCCTTCCTCCCAGCTTCTGGTGGTGGCAGCCGTCTTTGCTGTTCCTTAGCTTGTAGACAAGTCACTCTAATCTCTGCCTCCACCCGCACATGAGCCATCTTTCCTGTGTGTCTGTATCCAAATTTGCCTCTTACAAAGATACCAGCCATTGGATTTAGGGCATACTCGACCCCAGTATGACTTCACCTTAACTTGGTCACATCTTCAGAGATGGTATTTCCGAAACCCTATTTCCAAATAAGGTCACATCCAAATGTTCTAGGGAGACATGAATTTGGGTAGGACACTGTTCAACTTAGTACCTCATCATGTAGCCTGAGAAAATATGTATGTCCCTTTTTGAAAATTGAGGAAATAGGCCCCGGGAGGGGGGAGAGACTGGCACAGGGTCAAGGGCCAGGCCTTCAACTCCCCTTGGATCTAGGAAGGCCTGTAGAGGTGTTCACATTCCTTCTCCAGGAAAGTGCGGGTGGCGAGGCCTTTGTGGGTGCTGACAGCACGTGGCTGTTTCCCCAGTACATCTTTGCTTCCTTTCTTTTTTTGCCTTGCTACCTTGCCTCCCTGCCTATAGCTTTGCCCCCCTGCTGCCCTGTCTTCTTGCTTTGAGGGATTAGAAAGAGATGGTAGAAAAGTGTGAGGCCAAAGCAAGCCCTTAGCCCTGAGTGTCCTAGGGGGAGCTGAAGATGATTTACAGCTCAGATAGAAGTCTAGAGCAGGGAGTACCTGTATATGCCATGCCAGGATGGGCAGGCAGGGGACCGGGCTTTCAGACTCGTCACTTGGCCCTTACATCTCCCTCTGAGGGCCCCAGGAATCCTGGTCCCTTAACCGTGCCTCGTCTGCTTGCAGAAACGGAGAGAACTTGGTGGACTTCACCTTTGTGGAGAACGTGGTACATGGACACATCCTGGCTGCAGAGCACCTCTCCCGAGATGCAGCTGGGAGTGGGAAGGTAGGGCACCTGCTCCTCCTGCCCCAAGCACAGTTGCCTGTCTTCGGACTGTGTGTCCCTGGGATTGGATCCATTGGCTGATGGCCTTCATGCTTCTGCATCCTGGCCGATCTGCTTTAGGACCCCTTCGCTCCCAGGCTGATGCCCTGTGGGCGGGAGTGTGGTGAATTACAGTGCCTCATCCCTCAGGACAGCCCACATCCAGAGCCAATGAGCCAGGATTGACCAAGCGTTCGGGGCCTATTTCTCCAGGCCACGTGACCTGGATGCCCACTGTGGACATGACCGCTCCAGCAGGGTCCCATGTACATTTGGTGGGGTGCTTGCTACTCACCTTCCCTCCCCGTCATTCTGAAAATCTCGTATTTTCTCCCCCACTGCCCACCCTTGCTCATGCCTCTCACCCCTCCGGAGGGGTGGATGTATCTCAGTCTCCTGGCGTTTGGCACCTGGTGCACAGGACAGACATGTCGGGAAGAGGCTCTCATGAGGAGAGGGGAGAGCACAGTAGGGCCCCCTCGCCCTCTCCTCCCACTCATAGGGCCCCCCCCTTCCTTGTTTCTCACTGCTACCTTTGGAACCCCCTCTTTGGATCTCATTTTTCTCCTGGGCCTCTGCTGTTTTCCCACTCCTGGGACACTTAGGGTGGTGGGGGTCGGTCTTTATGTTTCAGACCAAATACAGCACAGTTGAGAAATGGTGTGTGACCTCTTGTTGCATCTGAAGATAAGGAGTTTCACCACGATTAACATGATTATTAAATTAAATTAACAAACATACCTTCCTGAGTGCAATCTAAGCTTCACCTAAAAATCCTGCCCCACAGAGAAAACTCACCTTTCCTGTCTGCACCTTAAGGCTGCCCATAGCTCCCAATCAGAAAAGCCTCTCTGCTGCTGGCTGACGTTTGCAGATCAGAGATGCTGGGTGGGCCGGTGGGGAGAGGCCACTAGCTTCCCAAAATACTGGTCCCAGCCTGAGTCATCAGCTTACGCCTGAGCTCCAAGTTCCAAGTGTGTTCTGCCCACCTCTCCAGCTAGGGAGCATTTCCTAACTTCTTGTTCTCTCTCCAGGCATTTCACATCACCAATGACGAACCCATCCCTTTCTGGACATTCTTGTCCCGCATCCTGACAGGCCTCAACTACGAGGCCCCCAAGTACCACATCCCCTATTGGGTGGCCTACTACCTGGCCCTCTTGCTGGCCCTCCTGGTGATGGTGATGCGTCCCGTCATCCAGCTCCAGCCCACTTTCACACCGATGCGTGTCGCACTGGCTGGCACGTTCCACTATTACAGCTGTGAGAGAGCCAAAAGGCTCATGGGCTACCGGCCACTGGTCAGCATGGATGACGCCATAGAAAGGACCGTGCAGAGTTTTCGTTACCTGCGGAAGGTCGACTGATGCAGCCCGGAGACTGGACCCACTTCAGTGCATTCCCCAGCCACCAGCTCCTCTGTGGACCCACAAACTAACATCCTTCAAGGGTGGAGGAAACAGCTGGCATTTCTCCCGTTGTCAGATTGGACTGGAATTTCTTAAAGCAGGCAGCTTCGAATTCTGCTTTTTGGTGTTCTCTCCCTGTCCCCCCCAACCCGCCAGGTTACTTAGCATTCCAGCGTCCTACATAATCGAAGCTGTAGGGGAAAAACAATCCATTTGCTAATCGATGTTGGGAAACTAGATTTACTTCTGTGCAACGCAGTACTAGAGTAGAAGCCACAGAAGAAAGGCAGGAGTTTCAAACACATGGTGAAACTTCAGAGAGATGCAGAATGTAAAGCAAACACTTTTTAAAAGCTTAAATAATTGTCACCCCTCACCCCATCAGCCCCTAGTGGGAACTGACCACTGGTTGACCTCCTCCTTCTCTGCTTCCGTGTTCTCTGCCCAGTACAGCTGGTGTGCCTGCTTCCATTGTTCTTTCATAAAACACTCTTTCGTGGACACGTCTTTCTTTTTTTTTTTTTTCCTGAAAGATTTTATCCACTTATTTGCCAGCGGGTGCAAGAGGGAGAGAGAGCACAAGCAGGGCTAGTGGCAGGCAGAGGGGGAAGCAGGCTCTCTGATGAGCAGGGAGCCCAATGCGGGGCTCGATCTCAGGACCTCAGGATCATGTCCTGAGCCAAAGGTAGACGTTTAACCAATTGAGTCACGCAGGTGCCCCCACACATCTCTCTCTATCAGCAGAGACCCATTGTCCTTTTTAGTTGCAAGGTAGTGTGCCCCAGTGGCCTTCCATTTCTGCTGTGTAGCTCTTCTAACATGGGGCATGGGGCTGGGTGACAGTGAGCCACTGGCGTTTGGGCAGAAAGTCCATAAGATGATGCAGAAAGGACAATTTCTCTGCAGCTCATGCTCATAGATCCCTTCAGGCCAGTTTCTAAGAGGCAAAGCACACAAGATGTGGTGTTCTCTATTTTCTGGTGACGTTCTGCTTACAGGACCTGGTTTCTTCCCAGACTGATGGAAATGTAATGTGAAAGACTTCTGTTCTCTTCTCTGTCATTGCCTAGGGGTGGAGAGGCAGCCGGGGACACGAAGAAAGTGACGATATTGTATGTGCCGTGAGGTTTGTGACAGGAGTATCACACCCGCCCGGGGGGAGACTGTGCTAAGCCGACGGGGCAGGGGCGCACAACTAGAAAAGACAGACAAGGTCTTTGCCCTTAAGGTACTTAGAATTGAGGAGCCCAAGGTATGTTCACAGGCCCCTGTAACACCAGACAGAAAATGAGACACTTGAGACAAGGTGGTCTAAGTTCAAGGAGGGGAGCTACGGCCTCCAGGCAAAACCGTCAAAGATGCTTGCAAGGAGGAGGTGACAGCACTAATCGGACTGAGTCAGTAGGTGGCACTTCAGGCTGAAAGGTCGGGTTCAGAGTCTTGTTACAGTTTCTTCCTCGGATCCAGCGAAGCACAGGAGGGACCAGCGGGGCTTGGGGTGGGGGATGTGGAGCAGTGGGAGGTTGGCTTAGCTGAATGGATACGCAGGGCTGAGGGCTGCCAAGCCAAGAGCACTAAACTGTCTCCTGCAGGCATGGGAAACCACTGACGCTTTACGCAGTAGAGCGCAAAAATCAAGAAACGTATTGTGGCCACCCTGTGTGGAGCTTGGGCGATCGGATAGGAAGTGACAAAGGTCTGGGTGACGATGGTGCAGCCAGGAGATAGAAGTGAAGCCTTAGCAGAAGCATCTGGAAGGGACTCAGTGCTCACTGCTTGATTTCCTACAGGAGGCCAGGGCATGGGACTGTTATACTCTGCTCTCAGAGCTGCTAGGAGGACAGGCTCAGGCCTAAAAAAGCGAAGCTGGCAGACCAAAGTGCCCTCAGCTTTGTCCTTCCAGCCATCTTCGGGAAATGCCGGCAGCTGCCTCTGCTTAAGATGGATGGGGTAGTCCGTTCATATCTTCTACTTCCTCGGGGAACCTTTTGTCTGCTCACTTGTTCCGTTCAGCCAGTCCTTCTTTTTTTTTTTTTTTTTAAGATTTTATTTATTTATTTGACAGACAGAGATCACAAGTAGGCAGAGAGGCAGGCAGACAGAGAGGAGGAAGCAGGACTCCCTGCTGAGCAGAGAGCCTGATGCGGGGCTAGAACCCAGGACCCTGGGATCATGACCTGAGCCGAAGGGAGAGGCTTAACCCCCTGAGCCACCCAGGCGCCCCACTGCCAGTCCTTCTACACGTCTGTTGGGCACTGCGTGGGCTGCCATGGGGAAGAAACGGGCACAGCCTGGAGCCGATACCACAGTGGAAACACAGCTTTTATGGCCGCTCCTCGCTCTGCCCGGCGTTCCTGACTCACACCTGTGTCACTCCCATCTGTTTGGAGAAGCTCTGACTGCCCAGACCTATTGGCGGAGGCTCCATGGGCCGGCCGCTCTGTGTACAGGCCCCACCCATGGTTCCAAACCACCGAAGCGGACTCCCTCCAGGTCACCAAGTCCAGCTAGAATCTTGCCGCAGCCACTGCAAGACTGAACTCATCTCACTCACCAGCCTGAGTCCCCAGGCAACTCCAACCCGTCCCTCGTCTGATGGCTGATGACTTTGCTGCACACTTCCCTAAAATGACATCCTGGAGAAGTGACCTAGGCCCGCACCTCCCTCCCCCCTCCAACCGCCTCCTCGTGACATCCACCTGCAGAATCAGGCTGGAGGGAAGCCAGTTGTCTGCCGGCTTGAGGACAGCTGAAAGTCCACGTCCAGCTCGGCGTGTTCATTGGGGAGGTCTCTTATTTCAGTCCCTTCCCCTCCCCATTGATACTGACCTAGTTCGGCTCCTGGCCCTATCTGCACCGGGGTCAGGTGTACTGGAACAGCCAAGCTGATATCTCCGCCTCCCCTGATCCAGCCTTTGTGGATCTCCAGGTTGTCGTTCCCAAAAGAGACCAGATCTGTCCCTCCTCCATCAAAAACACTTCAGTGCGTTCCAACCGTCTCAAGCACCTTCTGCAGCCATTTTGTCACAGCCTGTTCTAAGCCCACCTTTCCAGCTTCTTCCACTGGTTTCACACTTCTGCACAGGCCAAACTGCTCACGAGTTGTCAGACATCCCCTTACTCGGGTTGCCCTGGCTGCCTGCCATGTCCTCTCCTTGTTACGTCCCCAAACACAGAGTGGCCACATCCCTTTCCCCACAAAAATCTACCCTATTCTTCCCGATTGGAAATCATCTACTTGTTCTGGGCTCCCAGGCCATCACTCTCAGTGTTTGCTTTATTTAGAGTGTTCCCTCAGTGCACTTTCTCCCACCCCCGCCAGGCCCAGAGCTCCTTGAGGGCAGAAGCAACCAGTGTCCCCACAGAGTGGGTGCTCAAGAAATGTGGGTAACCACCTGCCTCTACTGAAATCCCAGCATAACAGCAGCAACAGAATGGAAGAGCCAGTGGGACTGGTTAGAGCAGAGGTTCCAGGCCTGGCGTTCATATGTAGAATTAGGAGGCCTGTGAACCCCAGGAACTGGACACAGCCTTGGGGCATCTGTGTGTGTCTTCTGTCGGAAGAGGGCACAGAGCTCTAATTAGCTTTTCAAAGATGACTGTGGCCTCATACAAAATTCAAGTCAGTGGGGTGAGTGCCAACAGCTGTAGAGAAGCCTGCTTTTGAGGAAGGGTCCAAGAGACAAGCTGAGGGGGAAGTGGCCAGAGTCGGGATCCCAGGCTTCGTTAGCATCTTCAGGTGCATGTGGTCATGGACCAAGTGGTGGCTGTGGCCAGCTGTTCTGTCTGTGGGTCCTTGCCTTCCTCTCTCCACCTAACGCCAGCAAGCTGGCCTATAAATTCCGCATGGCTTCTCAGCTACATTCTCCTCTGCACAGCTCACCTCAGGGTATCTACTGCTGGGCCTGAAGCCTCCTTTTCTTTCACATGTCATCTCCAACATCATTTACTCCTCACAGCTTCATCTCCATAGTCTCCCTCTTCTGGCTTCCTACAGAGCCCGCCCTGCATTGCCATCAGTCACTGGCTTAGCTGCCCAGATCTCCAACAAGCCACTGCATTCCTCGAGGACCAGGGACTTTTGATTTGTTTCTCTGCCCAGTAAGAGGGACCAGACTGAAAGGGCATTAAGAGAAGAAAACTACTAACACAATGACCAACTGGGGGAACTCGAGAGAGAAGTCATGACCAAGGGAATTAGCAGAGCCAGGGCTAAACCACAAGCTCCTGATCCCTCAGGCCAGTGCACCCCACATCACGCATCTAGATTTATGAAGCTAACAGAGCAAAGGGGCTCATCTGGGGAGGAAGGGACACGGGCTCTAAACAGACGCTTTGCAACACGAAGGGCTGAAAGGGCACAGAGAAGAGTTGGGAATGGAGACAAAAACGAGGCATGTTCAGAGACACTAGAACCCTTCCATCATGGCCCTCTTTTCCCCAGCACCGCCTAGTTGCCAATTATGGAAGACTCGGAATGATAGTGGACCCAAATTAGAGCCTTCCCTCGGTCAGGTCTTTTACCCACTCAGCCCCCAGGAGGTGTGTTCACATTAGCTCCTTCAGTCCAGAAAACTTTCTTGAGTGAACTGGGTAGGAGAGAAAGGGGGGGAAGAGGGTGAATGCCTTTCAGCCTTTCCCTGTACTGCAACTCTTACGAGATGTCTTCTCTAGTAAGTACTGGGAGACACACACACACCACTGGCTTTATTCTCTGTGGAGACCATCAATTCAGAAAATATTAACTGAGCGCCTGCTAAGTCCAAAGCGATGCAGAAGTGACCCACAGAGAAAAGTAATAACCCAAGTGTTCTTTGCCTTGGAAGCAAATGTCCACAAACTGAACTTGGGGTCAAATCCTATTTGCCTGTGCTTTGGTCAATAAAATGTTACTGGCACAAGCCCGCCCATTGGTTTACATCTTGTCTATGGCCACATCCATGGTGCAATGGCAGAGATGACCAGTTGTAAACGGAGACCGTGTAACCCACAAAGCCTAAAATAGTTACTACATTCCCCCTTACAGAAAAAGTTTGCCAACTCTGCTTAAGAGTGACTGATAAGCCAACAGGCACATGAAAAGATGCTCAACGTCACTCATCATCAGAGAAATGGACATCAAAACCATAATAATATACCATTCCACCCCCATGAGGATGGCTACTTTCAAAAAATAAACGTATAAATAAAACAGGGTAAATCCACTTTGGCCAGCTTGAGAAGATGAGGAATGGCATTCCAGCTTCCAGGCCAAGGGAACCACCTGGTCTGTGACAGGAAATGGTGGGAAATGAGGTTGCAGGTGTCAAGGAGCTTGGATTTCATTGCCCTCTGAAGAGTGACAGGGTGGCATTTGTGTGGGGGTGGAAAGAGTTCAAGGCTCGTGGCCCCTTCCTCCAT